CTCTAGTCATCTGAGAAATGTGTAGGGTAAGTTAGTCACCGAATACAAAAAAAAAACAGGAAAAATTATATCATATCTTCGAGGCCGCTATCCAATTTCAGTTAGAGAATTCCATTAAGAGTGTCAAAGTACGGTTCGATTGGGTCTGAATTCGAAAAATTTGAACCCGATGGGTTCGATTGATAACACCTACATCCACATCCTCAAGACGGTAGCACTAATGTTTCATTTCATATTCTTGCTGTATTTGTATTCATAATGACTGTGTTGTTACATGTATTACATTTTTCAGATATTTAACGAATAAATGAGAAGTTAATTATGAAATTGTAAAGCGCAAAACAGAAAAGGCTGCTAGGCATCTTCTTTCTATTGTGAATAAAAAAGAAGAATCATCTTTTTTTTTGCTTCAATCACATCGCATTAATTAATAGGCCTTCAACTTCATCATAATAAAGTCAGACGTCAGATATATGTGACAAAAGTATAAGCCTACAAATAGAATAAAACAAATATTTAGCATTATATGTCAGTCTTGCCATATTAACTATCAGAATAGGAATACGTCAGAAAAAGCAGTAACCTCTTATTGCATCCGCTGTTTCTTTGCAAAGGAAGCAATTGTATCCTGTTGCGTTATTAGTACGCCCTCTAGGAGTAGTATCATATGCGATGAAAATAATGACATAAAATAGATGTAATTTTGTTGTCAACAAGAAAATTTTAGTACTTTACGAACGCCTAGATGAAAAGATATTTCTTGCTATATATAGGTTCAGTTCAGCTCGAATTATAGAATATAGAAATATAAATGCTCGTTCTTTGTAATTACTATTACTAATGAATTTCTTCCGATGCTTTTAATCTCCTATATAATATAGTGTCAAAATCTATGTCTTCAACTCACAAGGTAATCTCTCCAATTAATAAAAAGCTTTTGAGATAATAGTGATGTTAGTAGGTCAAGTCTAATAATACTAAGAAAAATCCATAATGATCCATGTCCCAATTGCTTTCTTTTTGAGTTATAGCAATTTTATTAAATCTCTAGTATAGTGTAGAAAAAATTCTCATATTGTTATTTTGACCCGAAATTTAGTCAATAACAAAGTTCTTGTGAATTCTATCATATACCGCATGTTTCTCAGTTAGAACTAATGTTTTCTTTCTGAGATAACAGATTTACAAGAAAACCAGATTTTTCTCAATCATGCGTATTCACAACCGAAAGAGTATTTCATAAATAACGACCCCCATTTTTGCTTTCTTTCTTTCTTTCCTTGTCGTATTCAACCTTGGACTGATATTCAATATATATTTTTTAAAGAGCATCATCTAAGCTATCAATCAAAAAAAAAATTATTTAAATTTATATGAACTTTAAGGGACAACTACATCGATAAAAATTTTGTCAAATACATTTTTTACTTTTTGTCTATAAAGGACTACCTTGTTAGTATTTTGTGAATATCTCTCTTATTTTCTAATGGTTTGACTTATATTTTTTTTTCAAAAAGATAGTCCGTGTAATTCTCTACAAAACTCAATAAAAGGTACCTCTTCAAAATAATAACTAGGAAACCATATCTGATCGGAAGTGCTACACTCCAAAAAAACTCCACTTTCACAGAGACTTTTTTTTTTTACAACAGTAATTATTTTTCATCTCCGGAAGAAATAGGTTTCATGTCATTCTCAGTTATTATTTTGAAGAGACACTTTTTATTGGATTTTGTAGAGAATTACACGGACTATCTTTTGAACAAAAAATATAAGTCAAACCATCAGAAAATAGGAGAGAGATATTCACAAAATGCATTTGACAAAATCTTTATCGATGTAGTTCTCCCTTAGGACTCATGCAAATTTAAACAATTGTTTTTTTTGATTGATAGCTTAGATGATGCTCTTTAAAAATCTATATTGAATATCAGTCCACGGTCGAATACGACAAATAGAGAAAGAAAATAAAAAGGAGGTCGTTACTTACAGAACACTCTTTTTTTATAGATCAAATTTCAGGTCAAAATGAGGTCATGAGAACTTTTTTCCTGCGCTATGCTAAAAACTTATTATCATAGTCAAAGTAATTAAGACACGGTTCGTTATAGATTTTTATTAGTTTCATTAGACTTGATTTAGTAGCACAAGTATTATTTCAAAAGCTTTTTATCATTTGAAGAGATTCTCTCTAACATATAATGATATATTAGAAAAGAGATACATGAAAGTCTAAATATTTGATAAAAACTCTAAATACAAATTAAAAGGTAATATTTAAAAATTTATTTTAGATTATTGTTTTTTTATTCTAATAAATGGATTATGATAAACAAATCCTATCAACATCCGATCAAACAGATTCTAATAGAACAAACAAATTATATTTACAATGTAAAGTTTGTGAAAGTGATGGTGCACAAATTCATTATGGTGGATTATGTTGTGTATCATGTAAAATGTTTTTTCGTCGAAATGCAAATTTTGATCTAGTTGGTGAATTTATTTTATTTTATTTTTGGTCTAAAATTCATATGTTTTTCTTTTTTTTCTTTTTTTTTAGAATACACATCAATGTGTATTTAAAGAAAAATGTGATATTACAATACTTAGTCGACGTGCATGTCGTTATTGTCGTTTACAAAAATGTTTTACAATTGGAATGCAAAGAGAATTATTACGTGCTTCACATAATCGTCGAGGAATATTAAATGAGAAAATTATTTCATCATCAAATATAATATCATCAATTGATTTACTTCGTAATGATCGTTCATTATTAACTGATGAACAACGATGTCATCTATCAAATATAATTAATATATATGATACAAAATCTCCTGTAAATCATATTCGTCATTTATTATCATCAGAATCAAAACATCCAATGAAAATGCGTTTAAAAATGGCTAAAACAAATATTTTAGAAATAATTCTATCAATGTATCAAGGTTTACTTCCATTTATTGAAACATTACCGGAATTTCAAATAATGAAACATTATGATCAATGTGAATTAATTGAAAGAAATCTTTCATATGTTGGTGGTTTTAATGGTATTATTGTATTTCGTGATGCAGAAGTTCCAATTAGTACAGCATTTAAAAATGGTTTTCCTTCAGTTTATGGATCAACAATTGTAGATGATTCTGTAATTATTGCTAGACGAACTGATAATGATGTTACATTAATAAAATTATTAATACCGATTTTATTATTTTCAACATCATGTTATATTAATATTCCAAGCAATGTAAACAATAATTGTAAGAATACAAAACAAAACTTTTTTTTTTTTTTTTTTGATTAATCTCACTTTGTTTTGATATAACTGTAATTTCTTGAATTAATACTTTGACCATGAATAGGATTCAAAGTAATCAGACAAAATGTCAAAATATTTGTATTTCGATATACAGTGTCTTTTGACTACAGCTTATCGAGTTCAAGGATTTCTAAACCCAGATACAGATTTGGGTAGGACCCAATGACCTCTACTTTTGACCTAGATAATCGGGTATGAGAATGACGCAGATGGGAACGTGATATATAAATTTATCTCTTATAGAATAACCTTGAAGATACCAAAGACATCCATGGCAACGCGGCAGGGGTAAATTCATTTAACAATTTATTGTGGCAGCGGCACAGTAGCGATAGATTTTTTTAGAAAAATCATCGCGGTAACTTTCTCTTTTCTAACGCCGCGGCAGGGTTTCCACTGCGATGGACATCTCTGGAAAATATTGTATCCCTATGAATAATCAGAAGCTCGTAATACACTATATGTATTTTAGTTTGACAAGGGAAGTTTACCAATTGTTCAATCGCTTTTTTAGCCCAAAACCTAGCAGATGATAGGTAATCAAACATACTGATTCTGAATACCAATATCTTATACCGTCGATTTTTTATCAAGACTGACGGTTGGACTCGATTTTCTTTATTTATCGTTTTTTTTAATTATTTTATTACTAAATTAATTTTTTTAGTCTAGAAAAAAAATAGGCTTAATCATGCAACCAGTAAATTCTGTCAGATGGCACTACATATTTTCCCATTGATCAAGTTGTCTAACAGTAGGTGGCTTCAACACATCGCCAATACAGAGAGAATGTGATTTCAGCCAAAATTTGTCGATTTTGTAAGAGTAAAAAGAAATTAATCCATTGTGACATGAAAAATATTCAGCTGGAGAACCGCGGTTTGAATGACATGGGATGTTTTTTTTTTGTTGCTAGGGTTTCAGAGATCCAGTTTTCCATAGAGAAAAATTTTTTTCGTCAAAATTTTTCTTTTTTGAAAATTCGAATCATTATAGAGGGAATTAGAGGAGTAAAAAAATTGTAGTATTTAAACTTCCATAGGTTTTCTATACTATCACTATGTTTAGATATCTATAACACACTCTGCAGCTCATCAAAGAACGCCGAATTCTGATCCGATGATGTTAAAAAAACTTAATAAGTACTTTATCTTACTCAGCATTTTTCTTAGGTTAAAATGAGTGTATACATCCAGTCTACATTTACATTCATGTTCTTTTTTTGAGTGATCGGTGAAATGGAATCTAAATTTTAGTCGTTATTAATTAAATTCGGTACACAGTTTACGATATTCACAAGACTCATGATCAGTAGAAGTTTCGTACGAAGCGAAAGAGTAAGAAAATAATCACTACAAGAGTAAATCCAAAACAATTCTTTTCCTGGTAATCATAAACTGATTTTATTAGAATAACAAAAGAATAGATTATAATAATATGGACTATAATAGATCAAAGGTTGAACAAACCAAATAATGTCTGAAATAAATTTTGTAATAAAACATAGAATGTAAATGTTGAAAGAAAAGCGTGCCAGATAATAAAAGTTCAAATTTTTTAGCACTTAGCCCCATCCGTAATGGTTCAAATTTTGAAAAAAAAAACGTTTTTTTATAATCCACTATGTTTTGGCTAAAAAGTGATTAAACAGTTGATGATAAACTCAACTTTGGTCGAAAGTAAAAATGTTGAAAAAAAAACTTTATAAAAATAAAAAGTAAAATTCTGAAAAAAAAGACTGTGTTGAAAGATGTTGAATAAATATATCAGTTTATCGCATGTGGATGTGTGATTGAAGAGAAGACATATCCATACCCTAATCGTAGATAATTAAATTCTCGTATTTATCGAGAGCATTCAAATATATGAGATTTGATCAATTTTATGAAAGAAGAAGACCAATGCACACAGTGTATTATACTGCAATAGTCTCATGGCTCATCGAAACAAGAAAACAACTGAATAACAGCATTACAAAGTCAAATCAGTACGTTGTATAATCGATATAATAATTATTTCATTACAGCATCTGATCTTCTCAATGATCTGTCTTTTATTGTAGCAAAAAAGAAAATTACGATCGTACAAAAAGAACATTACTTTCGTTCTTTCTTTTTCAATAAAAAAAAAAGAATCATTTGATTCAAATTTAGTTGCTTGGTTTTTCTAATTTTCTGAATGAGAAAATATTCAGAACTCTTTACCTCAATTTTCGATATAATATTTACTTTCGACCAAAGTTGGCGACCCTCCCTCGTCAGTCTAAGATAATCGTCCAAGAAAACATATATTCAGCAGAGGATATGGTCACGCCACGTATTTGATTCCTAGAAGTATTGTCGACTTTTGGAATATATAAGACGATCGTTTAATGATTCTATGAACATAAATTAGGTTTTTAGTGAAAACTTATGTCATTCAAACCACAGTTCTGCTGCTTAAATTTTTTTGTATCTTAATGCATGAATATGAGCGCGCTCAAGTCGTCTGCATCAGTCACACCGGCTGTTGTCGCTTAGTTTTCGAGTTTCATTATTGGGTGATAATAATTAGCCGAATTTCAGACCGAAAACCGAAGCGACCGAAAAAGCTGATTGGTCATCTTGTAATGCTGTATAACCCATTAAGAATTCATTCATGTTTTATCATCATTTCTACAACAAAGATAAAATATTAAATTCATAAATACTGAATCTACGGAACTTATTAGATCTTCATCTTTATTAATATGAATTTTATTTGCTTATTTTTTAAATTAATTTTCCAATTGATTTTTCAATGACAAACTCTAGTCTGAGGATATGTCGACGTATCTCAACAGGATACGTCGACTCATCTAAGGAGATAGATTTTCTCATCTATTCCTTGAGAATAACAAAAAATGAATTTCAATACTTCCATTGCTATGAAAAAATTCGACTATATTTTAATTTACAATGATGAATATTTACGTTGCAGGAAAAATAATTGTTGCGTGCAAATCTTAAATTTGAATCCTAAAATTTTAAGTTTTTCTATTACTGTTCAGAAAATTTTTAATTTTTCTGAATTACAATTTCTTCTCACACATATATATTAATCTAGGTATCAAATTCATAATTATTTAACTATTGTCTTGGATTTTATACAGAATATGGACGCAATAAGAAGACGCCATCTTTTAAAATAAATGTATATCATATATATTTAATCAGTCACCAATCAGCTTTTTTCGGTCGCTTCGATTTTCGGTCTGAAATTCGGCCATTTATTATTACCCTCCATTATTCACTAAAGATAGTACCACAAAAATAGTCACATTGGCTAGAAGACTTAACTAATAGGGAAAAGTGTGACGCCGTCTGTCAGAATATACTGTAACATATTAAAATAGACTTTTAAAGTTCAAATCGATCTCTTCAAGACTAAAAATATTAATTTAACATATATGTAATATTTGAAACTTGAATTCAAGTAATCAACTATTCAAATTTTAACTTCTCAAATATTCTGCGGACATTCAATGGGGAAGCACGTTTCTCCGTCTAACACACCTTTTATTTCAGCATCGCGGCGTGGGAGCACTTCGTGCTCCCCGAAGAGCCGCCACCTACGTACGTCTCTGTGTACACCATTATTCCTACTCAGTGCTGCACAGTAGCTCAAGCTTCTCACATATTTCTTGTAGCATCCCAGATAATGTCTGAAGTATCTCAACCAAAATATGTTGTATCCTATGGAATGCTCGTAGCATTCTAGGTAATACTTGAAGCATCATAGATGGTGCTTGCAGCATCATAGGGTAATGCTCGTAGCATCATATGGGATGTTTGTAGGCATCATAGAGGATATCTGTAACATCATAGAGGACGCTACAAGTATCCCAGACAATACCTTTCGATGTTAAATGATTCTGGTGACACTCCAGGAGTTGACTAATTGAGCACTTGAATAGATGATTAGTTGAATAGTTGATTAGTTGAATATTTGAATAGTTGATTAGTTGAATACTTGAATACTTGAATAGCTGATTAGTTGAATAGTTGATTAGTTGAATAGTTGACCAGTTGAATGGATAGTTGAACACTAGAATAATTGCACTGATAGTTAAATACTTGAATTCAACTTTCAAATTTAACACTACTGGTCGAATTATGAATTAAGAAAATAATATTTTGATTTAACTTTCGTTTCTAATAAATATTTTTAAACTATCTCATATACTTAGATCAATTGGATGAAATTGAAATGAATTCAATTTTTTTCAATACAAAACGTCTATTTGATATTCAAAATACCTATATTGAAATAATGTTTAAATATATGATATATCGATTTGGTTATAATGAAGCTTCATTACGTTTTGCTGCTCTTATTAAAAGTTTTCTCGATCAAAGTAAGTGTATTTTAAAAGCAGCAGAAGTCGAATCACATGATCAATTAATACAGACAATTGTTAAAGATACTGAAACAGCATTACAATTTCAAAATGAATCAATGGAATAAAACATTCTATTGTTACACACCGAATATTTTTATGTTTTTTTTTTATGGTTGGTAATAATATAGTTTTTGCTTTGTTTTGTAATAATGATTAATATATACTTCAAAGAATAAAAAAATCTTTTTAATAAATACTAATAATTATTAACAGATTATTTATAGAAATGTTGATCAATATGTTCTTTGTGAAATACGATATAAAAAGAAGTGTTGTAGTATATAGGATAGAGATTTATATCCCTTCCTTCCCCATAGATATTACCATAGAAGCGTCATAGACCACATGACAGACATTATTGATATACGATTACAGACTGTATATGAATAACGTCTCTTTATAATATATGAACTACTTCCTTATTGTATTTATGGAAGATTAAGTAAAATGATGTTGAAGAAATATGTCGCAAAATCGATAGAATAAAACAATCTCCTTATGATTAACAACAGCAGTTGCATTGTGTTTCATATTTAATCCTGTAGGGATTGCGCTAAAAGCTTTTTCTTTCTTATTGAGATAAACTGTAAGATTTAGACATACACCAAACTCGGATTCGATGTTCAGGATGAATGTTTCTAATATGGATATTTCTGAACATCGTTAACTTTTCTTTAGAATGCCTGTAGCTCTTCGGATTATTTTTGGGTCATTTATTTCACAGTATGTAGATCTATCATAGCCAGCCCTGAAATCTTTTCTATTACTTTCGTTTATCAGTTAAATAAAAACAACGGCAGTCAAGATCGAACTTGAAGATTCAGATTCGGAAAAAATCTTTCGACTTCAACTGAATCAGTATTTTCTGTCGGAGTTCGACTCTGACTTCGAAAATTTTTTTGATTGACATGTTTAGCTTGTTTCGATGCTACTTACTAATGCGATTGTCTCTGATATTTTTTTTACTAATGTAACTTCGACATTGACTGCCAAAAACATTCTTGACGATCACTCCAGCTCTGAAGTATTCTTTCCGCGAGTCCAACTTCGACTCTATCGAAGTCGAAGTTTAATGCTGATCTCTAGTATTGACACTCACATCCATGAATCACGATTGTCACAAAACGGGTTTCTCTGGTATTTTAATGTAGAAACTCAAACTTTTGAACAATTTTTTGAACTCTACAATTCAACAAATGATAGGCGCGACACTAAATCAAACTGTGACAAAAAGTTTGGTGGCAGCGGCGGCTAAGCCGAACATCTTATCTCTCTATTTGTGACATTCACTGAGATATGAAAAAAATGTCCTTATTCGACCTTTCCATTTATCATTATCATAAATATAAAAGTACTTTACTGTAGTGTCATTCTTTTTTCTATATGTTTAAGTGTCCGATCAAAAAAAATAATTGAAAGTCATTTTTAGTTTCTATTCTTTAGAAAATATATGAATTAGTTTTTCATTCTCATTGACATGGAAAATGCAATGAGTAGAATTGTATATAAATCAAAACATTTTGGATAAATTCATCATTATATAGTTCAATAGAGACTGAACTTATACATATAGTTCGATGCTTCTTATCTACAACTTGTAATATGTGTGATCAAGAATTCTTTTGACTTCTATTTGTTTGTTTATGTTGATGTATTTATTTGAAGATGTAGTTTCTATAGAATAAAAATTGTTTTCATAAGACATCCGTAAAAATATTTCATGGTGAAATGCTTTCCATCTTTTTTTTTAATTGTTTTTCTTTTTGAATATGAACGAGTTAGCTATTCTTCAAACAAAGAACAATATAAGATGACGTTAACAAAATGCATTGAAGTATTTTTAAATATTTTTTCTTTTGCACTCTTATAAGTTCATATTTATTATAATCTTTCTAAAGAAATAATAACATGACAATTCTTCCACCTCCAGCAGTTATCCAACGAGTTTTGGATACTATTTCTACTATTGCTAATCTTTTAACTCTATTGATTTCTTTATCTCTTCTATGTATTATTATTTATCAACTTATTCGTTCAAATTCTATTTATCGTAAAGAAATGTTAAAAGATATGTCTATACGTCTTTCTATGAATACACATTGTTTACTTATTATAAGAAGTATTTTTCAATTTTTTGATATTGATTTAAATACAATAAAACGAGATTATTTATCAATACAAGAATTTAATAATTCATTTAGATGTCGTTTTCGTGGTTATTTACTTTTATCTATACATAATTGTTTATATTGGAGTTATACAATTCAAGCTATATTTCGTTTTATAAGAGTTATTTTTCCTCATTATATTTATTTATTTCAATCAAAAATTAGATTTTGTATATTGATTTTTATTCAATTCTTTTTTGGATTTATCAGTATATTTCCAATTTTTATTGGTTTTAATGATATTTATTTACTACCTAATGAACCTTATTGTACTGCATCATTTAATGAACTTACTTCATTGACTTACATGCCTATACTTGCATTTGGCTTACCATTATCTACTATTGTTGTATGTTATTTATGTATTACTTGGAAAATACGTCGTATAACAACAATAATACGTCCATATCAACAAAGAAATCGTCGTGATTTTATTGTTATTCATCGTATGATATTACTTATAACAATTTTAAGTATGGTATCACTTCCATTATTTATTGATTTATTTATTCATTTAGCAAAAGGTTATATAGATCCATATATGAATTCGATTGGATGGGTTTCATCGAGTATTAATGCTGTTATACTTGTCATTAGTTTACCATTTATTAATCCAAAGTTGTATGAATTATTGAAAAGAAAATCGAATATTGTTCAAGTTCAATGATACTTCAAGATTTAATAAAAATTGAATTTGTTTTTTTTTTGAAAATTTTGAACAATTTGTTGTTGTATTTATTTTATTTTATTTAAGTTCCTATGTATTTTAAGTCTTTATTATTTCTTTTTTTTTGTTTTATTTTGTTAATGACAGACTCACGTACAAACACAGTGAATCGATTGTTGCCAATCATTTATTTAAAAATATAGCTATCTGAAAAACTGCTTTGTAATATTACAAAACCTCATTTTTAATCAAAAATTGAATCAATAAACATAATACAGTAAAATTAGCCATACGAAAGGAATTATTTGTATTTTGATGTATAATTAACATGAATATACCAAAAAAAAACAAACATTTAACTAAAGAAAAAATTGTTCAAGAATAATTAATTAACTAATTAAAAGTTTTAGCTTTTGATAAATTATTATGCTTTACACATAATTGAATTCTATGAATAAGTTTATTAGCTAACTACAAATCTGTATAAAATTATATTAAATGTTTTCTCCTATTTCTTTTTTTAAATCAGAAATATTCAAAGTTGAAAATAGTGTAATTTCCCATTACTATATTTTAAATTTTTATTTTTTTGTTAGGCAAAAAAATGCGATTGAAATAGATTTTGACAAATAATTATAAACAGGCAGCGTGGCCGAGCGGTCTAAGGCGCCGGTTTAAGGCACCGGTCCGAAAGGGCGTGAGTTCGAATCTCACCGCTGTCACTATTTTTTTTCTTCTATGACAGAACTGCAAATGTAATATTTACATCATTGATGTCTAGTCGTTCATGAAGAAAAAAAAAAAAGTTCATTTTAATTCTATAAAAATTTATGTTTTTTTTATGAATTTTCTTACATACATTTTTTTCTTTCAGCAAAAAAAAATGCATTTGCTCTGACTCGTTTTCATAATAAGCATTCAATTGCATGCCAAGTTTTATCTTATTATTTTTTTCTATGCATTTATTTTAATACAATATAAGCAGTCATGAAAAACAAATGTTAACAATTCTTTCATTTATAAAAGTTTCACATATGAATAAAAGAAAATGTGACTATTTACTTATGTCATTGTATTATATTTTGTTACTAAATATAAATACTTCTTTCAAAAATATAGATATTTCTTTCTCAAACATTTAACAAATCAACAATAGAGATAATAAATTCATATCCTTATTTCTTATATTTAAGATGAGTTAATGTCATCTTGTCAGTACTTGAGAATTTCATTCTGATTTAAAAATAATATTCATATGAAATAATTAATTCTTATACAACAGTAAAAAGTAAAAAATAGCAATACAAGTATTTCAAAACAATGGCATATAAGTATCCACTGTAGACAATAATAAAATCATAAAGTTTTGCACAAGAAACACACGTTCATATGAGTAGTTCCGTATACACAGATAGACTTACCTTCATATGAAACACTTATTTGACTATCTATAATGTGAGTATAGGTGCAAATGTTGTTCTCATCAGTCTAACAAGAATCTTGGCCGCTGTATAACTGAGAAAACCTTGTATGAACAAAAAAGATATATCTTGTTTTAAGCTAACAGTTACATACATACATATCGGCAAAATCAGGCAGAATAGGACATTTGCACCTTTCATTGGAGGTTGATTCCCTATAAGAGTGAATTTTTTGGATAAATTCTTTTGGCATGGGCTTATGTGAAAATGTTTGGTCTTTCACATGGTTATTAGTTAAAATTAATTAATTAATTAGTTAATTAATTAAAAAGTAATTAGCGAATATCTCGCTAGCCATATGAGAAACAAATGTGAAAAGTTCAGGATAGAGTCTAGGGCATAAGCTGCATCTATGGTAAAATTTTCAGCAAGATTGGACTCCAAAAATTTCCTTCCGAAAAATCGGTTTTCTAGAGACCCTAAAAAGTGAAGAAGCGAAAACTTTTGTCCTATCATCATCTAGGGAGTCTAGGTAAGGATTTGTTACGTTTGAAGTCGATTTTGAACTTTTCAGTTGGTTACAAGAGCACCATCTCCATTGTGTAGTTGTACTGTGTCACGTCGCTAACAAAAATGTCACGTCGCTAACGACAAATAAATCGGTTTTTTTGAAAAACCTAGACACGCTCAGAAAAATTTTGCATATAGACTTTATAGCTTTAGGAGCCGTCTACAGAATGCCCTATTTAGTTTTCTAAAATTGGGCATGAATTGGGAGTTTTTAAAGACTAAAATGCACGAAGTGAAAATCGATGTCTTTTTTTGTGTCACGTCGCTAACGGTAGTTTTTTATCAATAACTCCTCTGAACAAAGCTTCATAGCGCTGATTTTTTTAGGGTATCTAGAGTAACTTAATGTCCATGCAACATATAAAAATCAGATCTAACAAAGCTCAATATCTCGAGATACACATATTTTAATTTTCCGAAGTCACGTCGCTAACAAATGATTTTTCCCATATATAGGTTAGGGATGAAATAAGGATTCTACTAGAGATAAATTCATACAGCAATATATTTAAGTGCGTTACAACACAATGTTCATGTAAAATGATGAGAGTTTTTTGTTTAAAAAAATATAATTTCGAGCGAGGTGATTGTACGAATATGGGTGAATAGACTAGAGTATTTTGATTTATAAAGTGTTTTTACGAAAATAAAAAAGATATATTCAGATTTTATTTAGTTCGATTGCATGAATTTATCTCTAGTCGAATCCTAATTCAAAACTAGAATTCCAATTTTGTCCTCAACATTTACATAAGATCAAATTTTCAAAAGAATATATTTTCTATTTAATACTTTTTATCGTTACGTTTATCTTGGTCATTATCTTCGTGTGTATGTGTGTCTGCTCAAACAAAAACGTTTCTTTTTGTGTTCTGTGACCTTCTTTTTTTAAAGAATAAATAGCATTATACATGTTAACATTTATGACGAGACAAAAATAAAAGCCATTTTAAAAGTTGTATTATTTTTAGTCTCATCTCATTCTGTTACAATGCACTTCAAAAGTCTTGTATCATTTTTTTGTTTTGACTCGTGTATTTAAATTACATAACATTAATTTAATTCGACTATATGTTTGTATAGTAGAGATCGAGTACTATATATATGCATCTATTTAGTACGATAAAGTCTTAAAAATGAAATATAATAAAAAGAACAAATGCATTGTATGTAGATCAATAAAATAGAAATCATCTGTACGACAATTCATGTTTTTATATATTTATTTTGAACAAAAAATAAATAAATAAATAAATCATTCATTTACTAGACTATTATCGTATGTTATTAATTCTTTCAATCCTTGTTCTCTTTTCCATTCAGCCCATTCTAAACTTGATAAATCATCAGGTTCTCTTTCTTGTCCTTTTATCCAATGTTTTCTTTGTATAATTTCTAATACTAAGAAGAATGCAGCTAACATAACATACGCTACAGTAAATCGCCAGCCATCATCGGTATTTTTTACTAATACACCTACATTACTTGAATTGATTAAACCAAATAATGACAAGAAACTTGCAAGAAGAGACCATACTGTAGCGTGGAGAAATTTTCGATCGATCATATACATGAAAATAGCAGTAACAAAAATACTTTGTAATAATGAACCACCAGCAAAATTAGCTAAACCACGATATGAAAAACCAGTTATGAATGAACTAACATTAGATGAAAATTGAACATTAGGTAGAGTAAAATTTGAGTAAGCATTAGATACACCACTTAGAATTGTACCTTTACCCCAATCAGCTATAATTGGCATTAGACCAAGAAGAAAAGCAGGATAATGACGTTGAGGTGTAATCGCTAATGTATCAGAACATATAACTAAACCAATAAAAATCTATTAATAAATATTTAAAAATCTTTTAATTTTTATTCTTCAATAAACTTTTGTTTTTGGATGTTTAATAAACTTACAACAACTGGATTTATTGCTACAACTGAAATTATAGATATAAGTAATCCACTAATACCAAAAAAACATAATGGTAAATAACAAATACCATTGATTATTGAATATGCTTGTTTTGCACCCATCTTTTTCATTGCTGGATGACCAATATAAGCTATATATAAATATAAATGTAATTCATATATATTAAAATGAATCATTCTTTTAAAATTACCTGTCATACTAAAAATTGACCCAAAACAAGTAGCAATTAATGTTCCAATGCCATCAACAAACATCGCTTCATGTGTAGGATAAAAATCTCCAGCTCGTTTAGCTGATTCAACACATTGTATTGTTCCAATAGCAATTACAATAGCTGTTGGAATTGTTGTTGAAAGATAAAAATGAATTGTATCTATATGTTGAAACATTTCTTTCATAGGAAAAACTGGTGGATAAAATTTTAAAAGATGAACTGCTTCATGTACTACTGAACCTTGATTAAGTGAAGTTGCCCAACCAAGAATTGTGCCTATTACTAGAGCAACGAAAGCAACTGGTAAAGGCCCATATGTAACTAAAAAAATAAATTTAGAATCAAGTTTTTTCAAAAAAAAAGATAATTAAACTCTTAGATCTATTTTTACCTCCACCAAAATATCCAAGCATTACTATTGTAAACGGAATAAAACCTACTATTGGTGTTTCAGATATAGGTAGATATTCATTCAATGCTAAAATAACATATCCAATACCAGATATGGATGCCAGTAGTGCTACACTTGGTGTATTCTTTCGAATGAATTCACCAAATACACAAAGTAACAAGAGAACAATACCAGTAATAAAATTACTGGCTAAGGCTACATTCCATGCTAATTCTTGACAGTAAGCTTTATCATGTGTAGGTATACATCCATAATAAGTAGGTGATATAATAACATAAATAAAAGCAAATGCACCTGGAGTACAAATACCATAAGGCATAGCACATACATTACCACGTTTTTCTTTAAATGCAAGTTTTCGAGCCATATAAACATAATAAAAATTACCCCATAACATAGCTAATCCAGTTCTATTATAAAATAATAAATTTATTTATATTTATTCAAAACATTTACTTACCCGGGTAGAACCTTACTATAAACAATATTATCTCCTAAAATAGGTTGTAAACTTAAGAGTATTGCTAGTAATGTTGATAAATTATTAATATATAATGCAACAAAACCATCAATATCACCACGTACAAAAAATGGATATTTTCGATTTGATCGAAATGCACTAATCCATTCTTTAGGATGAAATGTTAATAATTCTTTCACTTCATTTTTAATATTTTGACAATGATTGACAAATAATTTATGATTTGTTAAGCGCCTATTTTTGTTAGTCGACATTACAAAGATAATATTTTACAAAACAAAAATGAGTCTTTTTCTGTACTCAAATTTTATTTTTCATTCTTCATGACAAAGTAAAAATAAGTAAACATATGATAATAATACACCTATGAGATTTTTCATTTACATTGTATGTTTCTTGTTATCAGTATGATACAAACATACGACAATCGTTCTATCCAAACAAAAAAAATGGTGTATTTTTTCACAATAAAATGACATAGAAAATGAGATTGACTTTGTTGAATTAATAATAATTAGTTTAATTTATTATATATTAATACATTAAAAAAAAAACATTACTTTTAGCTTGTAAATAATAATGTATACTCTCACACCCACTCACTCTTGATAAACATGTACAATTTGTTTCTTCACGAATAAAAAATTATTCACAAGAGATATATTCAATAGTTTCAAACATTAAAGTGTGAATTCAACTATTGAATTACTACTCAAATATTTAACTACTGAATGTTGTTTTTCGTGTGCATTAAGATTGTGCAATACCCTCCGCGAAAGAGATGCCATGTATGTTATACATCTGTGAAATACTTAAATTTCAACTTATCAATTTTCAATTATTTAATAATTGACTTTTACATAAGGGATGGATCGAAAGTTTCTTGATAAAATATTTGACTATTTTTCATGTATTTAAATGCATTCGATAAGAGTGAGAAGTAATATATTAGAATTAGAGTTTTGTGCTGTTTCAAAATATATCTTTAGAATTTTTCTGTGACTATTGAACGTAAAAAGACTCAAAGATTTTTCTTAGAAGAAAAAAAAACTTCAAATAGAATTTGATCAAGACATGTCACAATATTTTATCGAATATATTGGGAGATACAGAAAATGATTCTATACAAAGCAGTAAATTTTTTTTCAAACTGTTGAGACGCAGTACAGGCTTTTATAAAGTCTATTTTTACCTTTCCAGTATAAAATAATCTTTCATCACAACTCTGCCAGTTTTTAGCAGATTAACCAAAACTCTCCATTTCTTAAGTCATTTTGTAGAATAGAGATCATCCTTAGAGGTGTCAATCTTCACAATATGATAGGATTCATCTTTTCAAATAATGCTAAATTTGAGTGTGATCTAATCTCAGATTCGTAATTCGGGTGAGATTTAAGTCTCACCTAGGGATGTGCAGTTTCGGTGAAAACAGTGAATTACTGACAGTGACACACTGACACTGAGCGCACTATCTGCAGTGACACGCTGGCAGTGACCGCACTGTCTGCAGTGACACACTGGTAGTTACCGTACTGTCTGCAGTGACACACTGACACTGACGTCAGTGTCAGCATGTCACTGCAGTCAGAGCGATCCGTGTCAATGTATTACTGCAGTGAGTGCGGTCAGTGTCAGTGTGTCACTGCAGACAGTGCGGTCACTACCAGTGTGTCACTGCAGTGAGTGCGCTCACTGCAGACAGTGCGCTCCGTGTCAGTGTCGTCAGCGTACCGGTGAACGCCAGTGTGATTTTATCGGTGGTCAGTATACTGAAACTGTACATCCCTAGTCTCACCCAGTCTATATGTTCCGCTGCCCATAGTCTCGTTAGTCTACTGTATTATTGATGTAATAAACTTCTGCATTTACTTCGACAAGTATCATTTATTATATAGATTATTCACTATTATTAAGACAATATTTGTATTCATTACATATCCAATGAGTATAAAAATTTTATTTAATAAAACAACAAATAACTATTATCATAATATGATCCTGGTATATTTAATCTTTAAAATCACTTGTATAAATTCTTAACATTCCATTGAATTGTATTTCAAATTTTAAATGATTAAATAAAAATGAATGTAATTCTCGTATACTTTTCAAATCTGTTGTATCTACTCCTCTTGATAAAAGAATATCACATTCAAATCGTTTTAAATTAGGTAATCGTTCATTAAATATATTAATTAATTGAATAAAATCAAAAGGTATTAATGATGCTTGATAGGAAACTATACGAAATGAAATAAGTTGAGGTGTTTGAATTGATGAAAATAATATTTGTATAGCTTGTGTAGTCCATCCTGGTTGAGTCATTTCAATAGTAAGATATTTAAGATGAGAATGATAAATAACTGATGATAAAGACGTATTAGAATATTCAAAAATAAATAATGAAAGACATTTCAAATTAGGACATGATTTAAGAATTGATAATAGAAAATTTTCATCACTACAAACACTTATTGAATCAGATGATGGATTCATTCTCCATGGACATTTTGGTAATGAATCAATATTACGTAATATACATTGATTAAGTGATAAAAATTCATGTGAAAAAATATATTTAACAAGTAATGATAAATCATCAGATGTAACATTAAGATATTTTAAATGTTTATGACAAAATGTTGATTGAATAAAATGTTGAAGTTGATTTTCAGTTGCATATGTATAAGTTAATGAATTTATTTTAGGATATTGTTTTAAATTAATATCATATTCATTTTTAATATCAAGTGAAATAATAGTTGAAGAAAAAAAAATATTCATATCAATTTCAGTTTTTTCATTAGTAGACCAAATTCGAATTGCACGATTATTGAGTGATTGAAGTATATTATTAATTCGTTGATTAAGTCCTTTAAATGCTTGATAAAGATCATGTAATGATAAATAATCAAATATTTCAATAAAAATTTCATTTGGAAGAGATTCCAATTGCATATTATAGTTTCTCATGTTTTTTGTTCTTATTCTTTCACATCTTGTTTTTTTCTTATATAAGTCAACACGGTTTCTTTTTTCTTTCTTTTCCTTTTTTGTCTGATGACTCATGAAAGGACACATCGACAACAAATAAAGAGAAAAACAGAATTGTTATGATAGAAAAAAAAATACATCAAATGTATATATCGATTGGTTTGAAGCAAAAAATTTATTTATATTAACGAATAATTATTTTCTATTAAATTCATACGAATGATTTGTCTAGAAAGTATGTGCTGCACTCTTTTTTGAGAACCTATCGACTGAACGACTACTTAATCTATTAGAACCATACATACTGATAGTTGACTTATATCGTAGTCTTTTTTAAATTTGTATAAACATATTATTGTTATATTTAATTCGATCGAAAGAAGTTCATGTATTCTAATATCAACATTATGGCATATTTGTAGTTTCTTGTTTTGTTTGTTTAATTATTTCACATTTATTTCTATTTTTTTTTCTTGATCTATTGATCAATTTCGCTCGAAAAAATTAATGACGAAAACTGATATTAAAAAAATCATCTAGCTTCGTTTTACTAAATTTTATTTAATTGAGATTAGTACTGTCATTTGCTAGCGTATTTCAAACTCATATAAGTTTTTTCATTCAAATTTTTTAAAATTGATTCACCTCTTTTCGACAATGATATTATTGTAGTAATCAAATTGATCTACTTACCACAATATTACATTTATGGTAAGATTCTTTATCTCTTCGTTAGATTAATGCTAATATTTTCGACAATGTTGTTTTTTTACTCAACATTATTTCTTGTCTATCCAAATCTTATTCATCTTGATATAACAGTTTCGTTTTCTGATGTTTTTTTTTGGCTTATGATCAGAATTTCTGTCTTAAGTATTTGTGTCTTTGTCTAACGAAAAACTAATGGTGATTTTAGATCTTTCATATGTACCATAAATAGAACGAGTTAGTAACGACCGGTTTAGAATATAGGTATAAATAAAAATTAGTGTTAATTTCAAAAATATCCGTTTGACTAAGATTTTCATTTATCCTATATCATCTCCTAGGTGACTAGATTGTGACCTACTGTTTGATAGAAGTAAAATGATGATCGATATTATTCATATTCACACTCTTCATTCATGTTGGATTTGCCGTAAGATTGAATATAATCCAATTACATGGGAACGATCCAATCCTTAACAAGATTTGATCGAGTTCAAATATCAAGAGTTTTGGTTACTTATTCTACGTTTTTTTGTTAAAAACCATCCTCGTACTTAAAATGACTGCACATTATCAGAAATTGTTTACTAAGAAAATTATCCTAGCTGCATCAGTGAAGTTAATTCTGATAGTAGATATATACTTCAATTATTAGCAGATTCCTTCTTAGCCATCACAAAATATATCTCCGTTCATCGCTATTGTATCAAAGCTTCTATTTATAATGCTTAGTAAAAACGTTTTCGTCCGATATCACGAACATTTTTGAAAAACTTGCAAAGCTTTATGCTGACTTTTTCAAAACAGCAATTGGAATCATGTATCCACAAAATTACTATACAACTATACACAGATCGCCCGACTGTTATAATACAACATGTTATAATATCCGCTTCTGCTATAGAGTAGCAAACAACAAAATTTGAATAAAAATGAAGAAACAAAACAATGGTTTTTTTACAATCGTCAACATGTTCTTTGTTCATTCGTATCTTCGTAGGAAAACAAAAGCAAAAGTGACAGCCACAATATTCGAATCAACATCCTTTACCATCAGCGTCTTCGACTGTTCAGTCTTAGTGCCTATATTTCATCCACTACTGAAACATTGTGAACTCTTCTAGTCCATCCAATAGATTTTCTAGCGGATAAAACTGGAAAAAAGATAAGTGACAGCGGTGAGATTCGAACTCACGCCCTTTCGGACCGGTGCCTTAAACCGGCGCCTTAGACCGCTCGGCCACGCTGCCTACATTTAATCCATCTAGTAAACCAGTAAACTAGCTAATCCCTCTGTGAGATTTTGTAAAGCATCACACCAGAAGAAAAAGATAAGTGACAGCGGTGAGATTCGAACTCACGCCCTTTCGGACCGGCTCCTGAAACCGGCGCCTTGGACCACTCGGCCACGCTGCCCACATTTGTTTCTCCTTGGAAACCAGTGGACTTCCTAGTTCATCGGATAAGTTCTGTAGCCGTCTTAGGCTACGTTTCACGCTGCCTACATCAGTGTTGCAATCGGTATGGTTTTTCTTATCCGTATCGGTACCAGTCTGTAGACCGTCATGAGTCATTTTTCACAGCTCTCATTCTGTAAGAGTCAAATCAACCTCTTGATTAGTCATAACTACCTCTGAGTCATCACGGAAATTATGCAAGACTTATGTTTCATTATTATAGTGTTTTTGTGAAACATGATTGTTAATGAGTGTTGAAGTATATGGCGAGAAAATCGATTTCATCTCCTTCATCTTGCTTCAAAGTCCGTGACAAATATATCGATGCTCTTTTAAGTTACTGATAGACTGTGGCAGAGATTTCGATATGTCTGTAGCGGTCTAGTTAGTTTCCAGACATGCTGGCTTTTTGGTTCCGTCATAGTCTGTCATATTGATGATGAGGTTTTACTAAGGGAGAAAAAGCAAAAATTCCGTACTTCAAGGATATACTAAACCTATTGTTTATAACTTCATAGCTGTACCAATTCTAATATCAATGTGTTCCGACCGTGTTAGTATGAGCTCATTTTATATCAGTCTGTCTAATAATAAAGCTGAAACACTTCATCATACTTTACCCATACTCAAATCTTCAAGTATAATGAAGTATTTAGGTTTTAATGTCAGACAGACTTAAATAAAATGAATTAAAACTGGTATGCTCGTGACACCTGTTGATAGTAAACTGGTGAATAGCTATGAAGCTCTATGAGATATCTTTGACATTCCCTTTGAGTACACTGAAGTGCGCAGTTTTCGACTTTTTTCCTTTGGATTCCCGACAATAGTTAAAGTATTTCCATCGTACTTAATATTTTAATCCCGTAGAGATTGCGCTGAAAGATTTTTCTTTACTATCTATTTCTGTAAATTTCCTCCCTTTTTGGGATCTATCCACGGAGATAAAATTTCATAGGACTACGAATTCTATATTAGCTCTGCACACTAATGAATTGTTCGTCAGATATAGAAATTCGGAATCAACTATAGATGTACTCTGCGTCTCAAAATAGTTTCACATTATTACCTGTTTTGTCTCTGTGGAAGCTACGGTATAAATAAAACGAAACGAAAATTAATATATATAGTTCATAGCAATGACGAATAATGATTTCATTTTCTTTCGACAATATAAATTGACATTGAAGTGACTCGATAAAATATATTAGGCGTATTTTGATGACTATCTACTTAACAGAAACATTCTAATGCATGTTTCCTGCCCCCTCCCCCGCTCTTTGTGTGCCAATAGTCAGGGCACGACCTATCTTCATCTTCTATCGGTTAAATGATGTGAAAGCATGCGGTTACGATGCAGTTAAACGCTCTGACCTCATAACCGATCATAGCTGCCTGCTTACTGTGTCCTTCATTCTCTCTTTCCTCTTTTCTTTCTTTTTTTTTATGTCTTGTACGTATATTAGTATTAACTTGTGTTTTATGTGAGACAGACACAGCTGGAGTGATGGAGTAGTGTAGTGAACATCTATACCGAGAGTGGCGATAATGCTACTTCTCCAGTTTGTCAATGTTTGTCATAATAAAATACATATTGCAATAGTAACAAAAAGAAACCGCCATCATATCTCTCTCTCTCTCATTTTCATTAAGCCTTAGAAATAATCATTGACACCAGTGAAACTGATTTAATTTAGCAAAACGACACCTGTATGATCAATTTAAGAAAAACAGCACGCAAAAATTCGAAAAAATCTATACTAGCCGGTGAGAAATTCTCTAGTGAATCGAACCGGCCCTTTACCATTACCGGTTTCAACACTGGCCTACATTTGAGTTCCCTAGTAAACCAGTGAACTTTACTAATCGATCCGATAGGTTTTGTAAAGCATAACATAAGAAAAAAAGATAAGTGACAGCGGTGAGATTCGAACTCACGCCCTTTCGGA